ATCTACACTACATTTATCTCGGAAGGCAAAGAGCACAAACAGAAACCCCAGGACTGCTGCCGCCCCAGACAGAAGGCTGATTCCACACAGCTTTAAGTGGAAAAGGGCTAATAAAGCAAAGCACACCACCACCCAAATGTGCAACATCCAGTTAGCGAATGGGAACTGGCAGTGCCCATGATCTTACCAATGTGCATCAACACCTGACAGGAGGCAATAAAGAAAATGGAGCTAGGCTCTTCCCAGTGGCACCTAGTGACAAGGCAAGAGGCAAACTGAAACACAGCAAATTCCACTTAAACGTGAAAAAAGCTTTTTTACTGTGAGGGTGCTCAAGCACTGGAATGGGTTGCCGTTGCAGAGCCTTCACCCTTGGAGCTATTCAAAACCGAACTGACCATGATTCTGAGCCGCTTGTTGTAGGTGACCCTGTTTTGAGCAGGGGGCTGGATTGGAGACCTCCAGAGCTCCCATCCCACCTCAGCAATCCTGTGAGCTCAGCCCAGCTCATGACGAAGCCTTAACTAAGACACCATAGAGGCTGCCTAAGAACAGCCAACACGCAAGCTAAAAATATGATAAGGCACAGAGAGCTCTCTAACCACACCTGGTGCACCCCTTGTCTCTCACCTTGGGTTTAGGAAACATGTTATTTGGGGGTGAGGAAGCTCCAGCTTACGCTTGCACAATAAAACCATGGCTCGTTGGCACAGATAACTCACCATCACTATACTTTGTCCAGGCACAACAACCCCTCAATCTTCCATGAAAACTACTCCTCAACAAAGTTTTGTCCACGGTTATCAAAAATCCCTAGGGTGGCTGTACTGACCAGAGCAGCACGTCAGTGGTACTGACAGGATGCAAGAGATCTCTAGCATTTATCCCACCATTCCCAAGTCCTACCTCCAAGGAAAACTAGAGGGCAGCTCACATAGTATTTCCTCCACTGCTACTGCAAAAGGAGCCGCACTGCTGGGAGTAGCAGTGAGAAGTTTTAAGATCAAATTTAGTTAAGCAAGACCATGAAATCTGACTGATTCTTCAGAAACCCTTCCACAGCTCATGAAACTTCTGTCACCAGACTGACCAAGCCTACAGCTGAGAAACTTTGAGAGGTCAAAGAAAAATGAACAAAAAGCCCCTAACCAAATAGCTGGAGATGATGCAACAAGATCCTGTTTTTCCCCAGTAACTTGGCCCTAAAAAGTAGTCACCGAAAACTAGCCTGGAACAGCACATCCTTCTCTGGCCACCTTCCCAGCACACTGCTTCACGTCTAGCAGTCAGGAAGCAAAACTGCTGTGACAGAAAAATAATACTGGAGGCAATCTTCTCCGATAAAGGCTCAGAATCGCTTTATTCTTTACACACCATCACCAGCATGTATGGCACAGAGAGGCAGGGAGAAAATCAAAGCCCTCATACACCAATGAACTAAAGAACTAAACTGCGTAAAACAAGAAAAGACAACAAGCCCCAGGAGAAGGGATGTAGAACAGAGTAGGAAGGGGAGGTGCAGAGGAAGGCAAAGAAATACAGTTATTAGATAGAAGTCACAAATCGGCAGCCCTCTGTGTATTAAATTACTCACCTGAAGTTCGAGGTACTTCTAGGGCAAATAAAATGGCAAAGAGACCACTGAGACCACCTCTGATTTACGAGGTTTGAGAGGATCCTGGACTGATCACCAACACAACAGACCTCACCTGAGAAGCGCGTTCCTTCCCTTGCTTTGCTTGCCATGGCTTTGCTCGAACAGAAATAAAACCTAACAAAAAACTCGAGCCTGCGCTTTGTTTGCTGACAGTGACTAAGGATAACCACATAGTCAAAGAACACAAATGGAAAATCCATCCTGAAGCAGCACAATGGAGTTCCTTAACAAAATAAGGAATAACTAATATTGAAGACGATGTCAGATGGAATAAACTCCTCTCTATTCCAAAATAAAAAGAAAGGAAAAGGAAAACCATCACGTAAGCACAGACTGATCTGTGACACAGCAGATGAGCAAGAAACCAAGGTACACACAGAGACGAAAAGGTAGACACATGAAATCCATCCCTGACATAACACCACCAAGGAAACACCTGGACACCTGGGAGAAAGCCGTAACAATGAGCGAAGCGGTCCATCAGGCAGAGCACTGACAGCATTTAAAATACGTTTTCCCTTGCTTTCCAAGAAAATGACTTACCTTCCTAACTCCTTCAATGCACATACAACAAGCGCAGGATATTGTTAGGTTTTTTTTTTTCAAATGAAGCAGATCTCTCTTCTAGAGCTCTCAGCTGAATACCTTGCTCATGCTGACAAGAACAAGCATTACTTCATCAAGGATATCTTTACAGGCCACAATCCACAATTACAAAAAAAAAAAAAATACAAACACAACTATCTCCATTATCAGCTACAATTACTCTTATCACTAGCTGCCATTTCTACCATATCTCTCCCATTATAAAGAAGACATTATTTAGTCTTACTTGTTTAATGTCCTTTCCTCTGGTTCCGACGCACCAGTCTGGTTGCTAGGGCTATGCTGTTCACTTTTCAGTAGGTGGAGATTTTTTATTTTTGTTTTTGAATGACATACAAACCCTCTGGCTACAGTGCTAGTGAAGATATATTCCCATCGACTCCCAGAGAAAAACAAAACACTGCCCTGCAAATAAATCTAAGGAAAGCTATAAAAGCAGGGGGCTTTTGAGCTTGGTGAATGAGAACTGCAGTCTGCTGGATTCAAATAGGAAAGCTGCCTGAATATGGGTTTTAAAATTAGGTATTTAATGAAGATGGCAGATTAAAAAAGAAAAAAAAAAAAAGGAAAAGCACTTGAACATGTTACATATGTTGGAAATTACAGTTTCCCCACCCAGAGGCTCTCTCTTTTCTGCATCAAATTACAAACCCAGAGGCAACATTTTCAAGCCTATTTTTTGTTTTGGGATGCTTTCATGCTGGATGTCCACTTAGAAAACACATCACCCTTTAAAACCCAGGCGTCTAAAGAAGGTAAGGAGAAGGGGCTGCCTCTCAACAGGTCCTGAGGCCATGAGGAAGCACAGTGTGCCCCAGCACAACCCCTCTGGGCAAGGACAGGGACTGGCCTTTTTGTCCAATTCCCCTTACTCTTTGCGCATGTGCTCTGCAAATGTTCAAATTTGGAAAAAGGGGTCAGCTACAGATTATTTTTGTGGTATCATGCAGTAAGATGGATGACTTGAGTTTTCCATCTCTCCCATTCTCACATAATGCTCTTTAAAATAGGAAATTTTGATACATAGAAATGAAAAAT